TCTGATCCTCTGCCCTTTCCCCTCCGCCCCCCTCCCCCATCCCTAGGATGACTGAGATCGTGAGCCGTGTGTCAAAGAGAAAGCTGGGCCGCCATGTGCGGGCACTGGTGTTTGAGCTGTGTTGCAACGACGAAAGCGGCGAGGATGTGGAGGTCCCCTATGTACGATACACATTTCGCTGATTTCTGTGCATTCCCCTAGGCTGGCCCCAGTTCTCTCCCATCCAGCTCCCTTCCAGTCCTGGGTTGCCATTTGGCCTCTGGCGGTGGTCCACCTAGCCAAGCCCGGTGTTCCCTTATCACCCACCTATCTGAGACCCTCACCACTGCTTTGTACCTTGTTTGGAACCTGTATCCCAATAAAAAGACAATAACCCAGAAATGGCCTTTGGTGCTGTCTCCAGGGAAGGAGCACCCTGGAGTTTTCTGATTCAGATAGCAGTCCAAAGGGCTACAACCCCCCCAACCCTGCTAGATTCCTGGACAGGGGAAAATGAGAATTGATATTTCCTGCCAGCTCTATGTAACAGACATGAATGCACTAGTGACATAACAGGTATCTGGGTCCATGTGACTTGAGTAATTTGAGTGTATAACCCACGTTGTAACCGCTCCCCCTAAACACAATTAACAGTGATCAGGCTGCCAGGGCTGAATTAGCATGCTTTATGTTCTTGGAGCAGATCCCTTCCCACTGGTATGAAGCACCCACATTCTGGGCTGGCCATTACAGCCATGGTTCCCCAACAGTACCAGGAATGCCTGTCCTGGTACTTCAAGTCCATACCCCAGGGGGTCTGAACAGCCAGTCTGAGGAACACCAGTGTCATGAGGCATGGTGCAGTTTTTATGGCTATACTGGGTAGAGGATATCTGGAGAGGAAAATCCCCTTTCCTGCCTGCCATCATGCTATGGTCTGTCTATTGCTCTGGTCTGCCTATATATCCCTTGAAGGTGCTCAAACCTCTTACCTTCCAGAAGAGGGCTGTGGGTGCAGAGGATTAATTAATTAATTGGTTAGTGCAGGTGGTTAGGAGGCTCACCTACAGTCCCATCAATACAGCACAGCTGCTGTGCTCCTCCCTTGTCTTAGTTCAAGTATCTGGACAGTTGAAAATAGCAACTTGGCTGACCAGCTCCACTGTGGATGTCTTCCTCTATTGTTACTGGTTCCTGGTGCCCAAGAATATCATTTATGCCTTGTGCCCAACCTAGCCCTCTCTCCACTCAAACTTGAATAGTTTATCCTGTTCTCCTTGTTCTGTTTGGCTCACATCCTTCCATAGTTCCTTTTTAGCCCTCACGTCACTTGGGATGACTGGCACTTCCTGGTATCTAGTGGTGGTACTAGCTATTTAGGCTTTCCACTGTCAGCACTTCTCTGCTGTTGCTGTTCCAGAAGACCCCAAACATCTGCCCATTGTCTTCCCTTATTACAGATGAAGCTGGCATACACTATTCCTCTGTCCTCTTTTTCTTTTTTAAATATTATTTTTATTTTATGTGTATGAGTGTATTGCCTGCATATAAATGCACCTGTGTCGTGCAATGCCTGCAGAGGTCAGAAGAGAGCGTTGGATCCCCTGGAACTGGAGTTTGGACAGTTCTTAACTGCCATGTGGGTGCTGGGAATCAAACCCAGGACCTCTACAAAAGCAGTCAGTGTTCTTAACTGCTGAGCCATCTCCCCAGTCCCATTGTCCCCCTTTTCTACCATCCCAGCCCCTTGGTACCAGGGCTCAGCAAGCCAGGGCTGGGTCACTTTACTGAGCCCTCTGCACCCAGCAGACACAAAAGATAGGGTAGGACATGGTTGCCTTTTATCCTAGAACTGTTTGCCATCTAATTATTCTACAACAATTTGTTTAGTGCTGACTGTGCCAGGAACTATTGTAGGTATTTCGGACACATCAGCATGATAAAACACATCTCTGACGTGGGGTTTATGTTTTGCTAGGATAAGACAATAAACAACTATATGTTAAAGTTTTTCAGGGGTTAAGGCTGGAGTTCAGTTGGTAGAATGCTTGCCTAGCATGCACTAAACCCTGGATTCAGTCCCCAGTACTGCATAAAGCTGGGTGTGGTGATGTACACCTATAATCCCAGCACTCTAGGAAGTGGATCAAGAGTTCCAGGCCACATGAAATCATGTCTCAAAAAAAGGTGGGCCATCTTGACTCAGTGGGTAAAAGTATGTGTGTGTATACATACCTTTATTTTTATTTAATTGAGGGGTGTATGCCATAATGCACATGTGGAAGTCAGAGGACAACTTGTGAGAGTTGGTTATCTCCACCATGTAGGTCTCAAGGATTGAACTTGGGTCATTAGATTTAATGGAATACGCCTTTACCTGTTAAGTTATCCTCCATGCCCCATAAATTTTATTTGTATGTGTCTGTGTATGGGTATGCCATGTGTGTGCAAGTGCTTGCAGAGGCCAGAAGAGGGTGTCAAAGCCCCTAGAGCTGGAGTTACAAGTAGTTGTAAGTCACCTGATGTGAGTGCTGGGAACTTGAACTCAAACTCTGGAAGAGCAGTAAGCACTCAACCGCTGAGCCATTTCTCCAGCCCCAGCCATATAAACTTGAAAAAAATTTTTTTTTAAGTTGAACCAGTGGTGGCACATGCCTTTAATCCTAGCACTTGGGAGGCAGAGGCAGGTAGGTCTGAGTTTCAGGCCAGTTTGGTCTACGTAACAAACTCAAGGCCAAGCAGGGATACATAGTGAGACCCTGTCTCAAAAAACAAAAATATACCAGGCCTAGTGGCACATGACTTTAATCCCAGGAGTCAGAGGCAGGCATATCTCTGTGAGTTTGAGGCCAGCCTTGTCTTCCAGGCCAGCCAGAGCTACATAGTGAAACTTTGTCTCTAAAATTAAATCAAAACAAACACAAACCAAACAAAAAACCTTAACCAAACCAAAACAAAAAAAGTTGATCAGTGGGTTGGAAATGTACCTGAGTTAGTAGAGGGCTTGCCTAGAACACATGAAGCCCTGGGGTTGATTCCCAGCCCCTGATAAAACCAGTTGTGGTGGGTCCGGAGAGATGATTTAGTGGTTAAGAGCAGTGGCTGCTCTTTCAGAGGACCCGGTTTCAGTTCCTAGCACCCACACATGGTGCCTCACAACTGTCAGTAACTTCAGTTCCAGGGGATTTCTTCTGACCTCTGGGCACTGGATGACACAGGTATGTTTATATACATGTAGGCATAACACACACTAAAAATAATAACACCAGACATGGTGATGTATGCCTGTAATCCCAGCACTTGGGAGATGGAGGTCAGAAGAGTTGGGTCTTCAAGGTCAATCTCGGCTGCATAATGAATTCAAGGCCATCCGGCTACATGAGACAGTGTGAAAACTAAAAACAGGTGGCCAAGACTGGGGATGCAGCTCAGGAGTGGCGCATGCACGGCTTGGAATAGACCCTAACACTGCATGTGCTTGCGCGCACGAACACACACACACACACACACACCCACACACACACACACACACACAAACACATGAAAAGATGAAAAGAATCATGCTTTCAAAAGGTGTGGAGCATGTGGGTATTTGGAATCATGGGAATGCATCAAGAAGGAATGAGGCATGTGGACATGGGGCAAAAACATTCCAAAGGGAGTCCCAGAGGCTGAATTTTAGCCTGCTGTACTTAAAAATAGCTAAATATTCTGCTGGAGAGAAAGATAGATGATGAACTGATGGACCTGATTTCTATCCTTGCAATGAGGACTTTCAAGGCCCAGGAAGTCCTTGCTAATAATGAACCTTGCTTGAAAATCCTAACTGGGAAGGAAGGGAGGAGGGAGGGCAGTAAGGCCCAACAAGGGAAACCCCGAAAAGGCAAGGAAGTTTCTGGGTCCAATGTAAGAAAATCCCAGAAGGCCTACGGAAAGGATGGCGCTGTTTGGGCTGGATTTGGGAATACTGTAATTTTCTAGGGAGTGGAATGAGAGATGAAGTAGTTCGGCACTCATTGCCATATACCATATAACAGAGCCCAGTAAGTAAAAGAGAAATACAATTGGCTGTGGTGGGCAAGATGAGTTGAAAGGTTTCAGAAAAACCCAATAAGGGAGGATGTTTGCTAAGTTTGGGTGCGTTAAGAAGCTACTCCCGAGGCAAGGTTCCAAGCATGCGCAGTAGTAGTAGCAGCGGAGCCCGCCCCTGTGAAGGCCCGGCTTTCCTCTCCGCCCCTAGAGGCTGCGGGAGGATGTGGGAAGAGTTAAGGGTGGGACCCAGTCTGATTGAACTCTCTATAGACCGATCATCTTATGGGATATTTGGCCTATCGTGAGAGGAGCTCAGAACAAAAAGGAGACCCCACCCCTGATGGTGAAAACCAATGAAAGCCGGGCAGAGGAGGAGGCAGGCGGAGGGGGATAGCAAAGTCACGCCTCTTTAGGTCTGCCACGCCCTTCATTCTTGCTCAGCCTCACAACAGGGCGCAAGCCCGATTGGCTGGGGGGTGGGGGGAGACAATCTTAGAGGGCGGGGCTACATACGTTTAACAGTGGGAAAGATATAGCGGTGGAGGGACGGTGGCAGGGCGGGGCTAGATTGTCCTATCAGAGGTGGGAAAGGCCAATGATTATCCAAGCCACCTCTCCTAGAAAGTCATCTTCTCGAGCCTTTAAACTCCTGCTTCCCGAGGCACCTCAAGGGACTAGAACTTACTGTCTCATCTGCTCCTTTCCTCCTTGCAAAAGTCCCGTTTGCCACCATGCGGATGTGCCAAGTGAGACTGTAGGGGAGGCGAGTGGTGAGTGGTACGCCTGGTTCCTGGCTGCTGCTCACCTCGATGCTAGGAAGCTTCTGGCAAGATCAAAACTGAGTACCAAGCTACCCCAACATTCCCCCTGGCGCCGTTCCAGGGCCGACGCCACATTTCCTCTTGGGCACGCAATGGCCGCACCCCCTCCCTCTGCAGACAGGTCTTTTGGTACACGCAGCCGGAGGTAAGTCTCCTCCTTCCTACTTCACCCTTTCCAGCGCGTGCGTGCGCATGCGCGGAATGCGGAGCGCGGTGGTTGGGCTGTTGGCTGTACGGCCTTGGGATCTGCCGCGTCTCCACGAGCAGTCCGCTGTGAGTCACGAGTCGCTGTGAGCACTTGGATTCCAGTGGGTGCTAACGAGCTTGGGGGCGTAGCCCACAGCGGCCAAGCTCATGGCCGGCTGAGCGGGACGCCGCCTCCGCCTCAGCCACCGCCGCCGCCGCCGCCGCCCCCTCCTCCTCAGCCGGCGGCGGCCCGGGCCCAGCAGCCATGGCCGAAGACTACTGGGACGGGCGCCTGCGGCGAACTGGAGGAAAAGGAGGTCGCGCGGCCTTATTCAGGGCCGCCGCCCCAGGCGCCACCGCGCCGGCCCCGCGGCTCTGAGGTTGCTCGCGCGCCCCCGCCGGTGAGCGCGTCCTCGAGACCTGGGGTGGGAGCTGCTCCTCTTCTGCTGCTGTAACCACCCCGACCCCAGGCGGTGCTGGGGCGAGAGGGGGGAGGTGTCTGAGCAGTTCGCTTTCAAGTGCCCCCTCCCCCATCGAGTTTCCCAAGATACACCGGGGCGGGGGTCATTTGGGGCCTCCCTGACCTTGGCCCCGCCCTGGGCTGTCCTGGGAGCTGGGGATAGGAAGTGCTGTGGATGCTAAGGAGGAGAAGGGTGATTAAAGGACCAGAGGTGTGGGAATGGATTGATAGAGTAGTGGTGAAAGACTCAAGTCTTGCTAATGGGGACCTGAGCTGTGTAGGGGGTAGGAGCATATGATGATAAACCTTACATTTATTTAATTTCAGACCCAGTGTGCTAATAAAAGAGTACAGGGCCGTGATAGACCTGAGGGTATATAATGGGATTAATTGCGTGTAGAGGTTAGGGCTGTAGAGAGGCGCAGTGTATGTAATGGAGAAAGAGGGTAGAAGTGCCAGAAAATGGGCCATTAGGATGGGGTTCTGAGGCCCCGTGAATGGTGATGAGGCTCAGGATAGTGTCAGTATTGATGTGTTTGTCCATGGGGAGGGTGGCAACCTGTCAGGGTCCAGGGTGTGCTCATGGAGGGACAGGTAGTTGAAGGACTCAAGTGTTGAGTGTGTGCTGATGAGGGAGAGTCATGGTGGTAAGGGTGTGTACATGTGGTAATAAAGGACTGGGTAGTGTTCGGCCTAGTATATGTCAGTGGGGGCAGAGCGTGTGAAGGACCTGAGGGTGTGTGATGGGGGCAGGGTGGTGGAAGGCCAGAGTTTATGCTAACTGGTATTGAAATTATGCATATTTGTGTGGAGGAGGGTGATTGTAAAGGAAGTATAAGAGCTCAGCACACTAAGGGTCAAGCTGAGGTGTGAGTGTCCAGAAGGTGTGGGGTTATACTGTATATGAAGCTCTAGAACCTACTTCTGTGAGTTTAGAGCTACAGGGGCACCTAAATGCGTGCCAGTGGGGGAAGAGAGTGAGCAATTTAAAGTCAAAACTGCAGATGAGCATCAGAACATTGGGAAGGCTATGATCCTGTCCATGTGCCACTGGAGTGTGTTAAGTCAGGGAATGCTACAGGGGTAGAGTTGTGGTGGGAACCATTACAGGGATTACAGCTATGAAAAGTGTAAACCAACGGGTTTATAGCTGTTGAGGGCTGAGAGAGGAGACAGGGTTAGGTGATAGGGTAAATGTGCTAAAGTTGGCTAGAGTCATAGAGAACTATGTACATGTTAATGGGGGTTAAATGTAGAGCTGTGTACACTAATGAAGGTCAGGCCAATATGAAACAGTGTGTTTGTCCCTGAGGAATAGAGTTGAGTAAAGGTTCAGGGTATGCTAATGGGGAGACAAGACTTGTGAAGCTCTGTGTGCTAACTGGGGTCAAGATGGAGTGAAGATTCAGCTTGTGTTGATGGGGGATGGGGCAGTAGAGCGGAAGGACTTGGACAGAATGTGTGTTAACAATAGTCACAATTGTGAAGAGGCCTGAGTGGACAAAACTGGTCAGGGTTTCTACAAGATTCACTGTGTGCTAATGTGATTCAGAGGAGTCTGAAGGTTCAGAAAATGCTAATTTGGGTCAGCTGCAGAGCACTCCAAGTGCATATTAATTAGAATCAGAATCTAGAGGGGATACTGTTAATGGGGTGGGTTAGTGCTATGGAGAACCTAACAAACATCTAGGCCTGGAAAGTCCTCAGAGTTGCTTAGAGGGGTCAAATACATGCCAACAAGTTGATTGCAGTAGTTTAGGGTTTTGAGTGCTGAAGGCGGGGGTGACTAGAGGTAAAGGGGAGATCATGGGTATTAGTAGGAGTTAAGATGTAATGAGGAGTGGGGCATGGTGGCTCACGCCTTTAATCCCAACACTCAGAAGGCAGAGACTGGCGGATCTCTTCGAGTTCGAGGCCAGCCTGGTCTACATAGTGAGTTCCAGGCCAGCTGGGGCTACAGGGAGACCCTGTCTCAAAAAGACAAAAAAAAAGATGTAATGAAGGTCTTCTTGAGGGCATGAGTCTGTGCTTATGGAAGTCAGGAGAGAATGGAGTGTATGCCTATGGGAGTAGTAGAGCATTTCAGCCACGCTCTCAGTGGTTGGAGCCTGAGGATGGGTGAGTATGTCTTTGGGAGTTAGGAAGGACAAATGCCATAAAGTTACAGAATCCTATCTCCGTTACTTACTCCTTCACTTATTCTGAAGTCTGTAAGGTCAGAAAACTGCAATTGTGGTATTTAAAGGTTTTGCTGCTTGTAAATTTTTAAATGTATGTGTTCACGGGGGCTTACACTCCCCCCCCCCCAGTTTGCAAAATACATGGGTTTTGTGCCCTGTCTTAAAATCTCCCAAAAGATGAATTCTGGAAAATGTCCAGTCCTTAAGGGTTCCAGTAAGAGGTCATGAACTCATGGCTCCCTCGCCATCCCTCATTTCCTTAGGCCCTTCCTTCATTCTGTCACCACATACAAAGCAATGGGGCATGAGTGCCATATAGGAGCAAAAAGAGATCTTTGGGAACTGGCCATACTTCACTTTCCTTGGCCTTAGGTCATGTTCAGTCTTTGAGGTCAAGATTGTATGGTATTATCCTGAGTTTTCTGCCGGGGGATTTTACCCTTATCTGGGTTCTGCTAGGCCTCCCCTTCTAGATGTGTCAGGCATTGAGTGGGAACTGCTGGTGTAACCACTTTGTTTCAGGGTAACAGATGACCCATTTCTCTCCTTGAATCCATCCCTGGCCTTATCCTCAACCTCCTATCTAGCTTTACTTCCCTTGGGCCCTGGGCCATCTCATGCCCTGCTGTGAGTCCAGATGGTTCCTGGGCCAGGTCTTTCCCCCTTCTTGCTGGGCCAGAGCCCAGGAGGAAGCAGAAGAATGCCATCCTAAACCTTTGGTGGCCCCATTCCGTCCAGCAGCCCATCTAGGTCATCTCAATGCCAGCATCCCTGGGCTACCTTGTTTGGAGTGGTCCATGAGTGTCTCGGATTCAGCATCTCAGCAGAGGTTGGTCTTGAGCTTTCCATCCCCCGTCATTCATTTCTGCTATGTGTACTTTTTGAGTGTCTAGTCTACTCTGTCAGTCACTATTCCAGGTTCTCAGGATATAGCCATCATCTAAATACAGAAATCTACCCTTGCGGAGCTGATCTTCTAGTCATGGCAGTAAGGAGACAGTAAAGAGGAAAGAAACCAATAAGTAGATGATGTCATTTCTGAGGCGATAAGTGCTGGGGGGCTCATTGGCAAGGTGAGGAAGCTTAAGATTGATAAAATTTTAAATAAAGGTGACATTTGAGTAATGGCCTGAAGAGAGTGAGCTGTTTTGTAGTCTGGGGAAGGATGTGCAGGTACCAGGAACAGCCAGTGCCCAGACCCTGAGACGGGAACTTTGCTTGGTGTGGTGCCAAACAGCAACTAAGAATAATAAAGGGGGAGGTGAGGCCAGAGTGGTAATAGGGGCAAATGAGATATAAGGGATATAGGTCACATTGAGGACTGGTGTGTTTATTTGAGATGGTAAGGAAGACGTGATACACTCTTCAGGACAGAAGAAATGTAACCTGGTTTTATAAAAATCTGGGTTGGACCCTATGGGTCCCACCCCTGTGAAACCTATCCAGCACCCCTGAGGACAGCTGGTGTGTGCTGAGATTCCCTCCCCCCCCCAATACACACACAATCCCATCCAATTATTGGTCCTGAGCACACACCCCCCCCAATCTGGGTAGAAAAGTGGCGTGGTCCATTAGTCACCATGACAGTGGTTGCTGGGGGAGATGAGAGGGTCTCTGTGGCCTCAGGGAGCATTCTGCTCTGGCAGTTGGGGGCAATGTGGGGTTGGTGCCAGCGGAACACGTCATTTTATGGGCGTACCCAGGGCCTTATCACTGGTCCTGTGGTTCTGAATGAGCCCCTTGTCCCAACTGTGGCTGCGACTGTTATTGCCCCTGAGGATAGCTGCTGTGGAGCCCTATGCTCCTATAGTGAGGTTGCCGCTTTAGAGACCAACAATATTCTGAGTGGGCCCTTGCCTTCAGCCAGCCACCCAAGCCATTCAAGTCTGAATACCCAGGTAAACTACTTAAGGGTAGACCAACAATGACAAGGGGTCTTATCCATGTCAGATTTCCAAGGATCTGTAGTGGCTGAGTGAGCACTGATGTGTTCATATTAGTGCTCCCCACTAGGTTGTTGTGGACTTTAGGGGGCCCATGCTGAGCAAGCAGATGTTAATGTGGTCTCCGTTTCTGTCCATGACCCCTGTTTCAGGTTGCCATGGATCGGATGAAGAAGATCAAACGGCAGCTGTCAATGACACTCCGAGGGGGCCGAGGCATAGACAAGACCAATGGTGCCCCTGAGCAGATAGGTCTGGATGAGAGTGGTGGTGGTGGTGGCAGTGACCTTGGAGAGGCCCCCACCCGTGCTGCCCCTGGGGAGCTTCGCTCTGTGCGGAGTCCACTCAGCTCTGCACCAGGTGGGTCCACTTATTCTTTCTTCCTGACTCAGTTCCCAGATACTACCTCCCAGTCAAGTGTCTTGTCTTTTCTTCATTTTCTCCCCCTTCCCTGCCATCCTTTTCCAACATTCTTTCTCCCTGTGCCCCTTTTTTCATTTTATATCCCGGCCTCTGATGGAGAATGGTACTTTGCCTGTTGAAATTTCCCCAAGACTTTGTGGTAGCCTTCTCAGTGTTCCTTGGAGCTACCTTGCCCTAGGCCTGCCGTCTCAGGGCCTTTGACTACCCCTTTCACCACAAGCCTTCTGGCCTTAGGTCAGTTGCCATCTCAGTTTGCCTCTGGTAGAGTACTCTACTGGGTGACTACACCCCACCACATCTTTTCTGGGCCCACCTGGATTTCCCAGTCTGTTCTAGGGCCATATACATACATGGGTGTGACGGAATATGTTGTATTGGGGGCAGGAGAGATATTCCTAACTCCACTGGTTTGACTTCCCCCTCTCTCCACCAACAGAGATTGTGCACGAGGACATGAAGATGGGCTCTGATGGGGAGAGTGACCAGGCTTCAGCCACATCCTCAGATGAGGTGCAGTCTCCTGTGAGAGTGCGCATGCGCAACCACCCCCCACGCAAGATCTCCACTGAGGTGCTTGATCCCTGTCCCAGTGATGGAGGAATTGGAGTAGGGGGTTGGGTCTGGGAAGGTGGAGCTCATGGTCCTACTTCTTCATCTTGTCTACTAGGACATCAACAAGCGCCTGTCGCTTCCAGCTGACATTCGGCTGCCTGAGGGCTACCTTGAGAAGCTGACCCTCAATAGCCCCATCTTTGATAAACCCCTTAGCCGTCGCCTTCGCCGTGTCAGCCTGGTAACATATCTTTCTGTCTTGTCTAACACCTTTCCCTCCTCCACTCCCAGTGCCCTCCTCTAATCCTGCTTCAACATACCCACTTTACCCACAGTCGGAGATTGGTTTTGGGAAACTGGAGACATATATCAAGCTGGACAAGCTGGGTGAGGTGAGACAGGAGGCTTATGGTGAGGATGGGAGTCACTGTGAACTCCCTGTAACTTCATAGCACCTCTCCTGTTACATTTCCTCACACCTCAGGGCACCTATGCTACAGTCTACAAAGGAAAAAGCAAGCTTACTGACAACCTTGTAGCACTCAAGGAGATCAGACTGGAACATGAAGAAGGGGCACCCTGCACCGCCATCCGGGAAGGTACGGACTCCCGTTTCATCTGCCCGTGGCTTCCCTGACCCCATGGCACACACATTCTCTGTGGTGGGGACAGAGACTGGGGGCTGTCAGACACCCCCCATGCACACACACAAACCCGTGCAGTGTTCTAACCTTCATGAGAATGCCCACCAGCCACATACCCAGGTAATATTCAGGATAATAAGGAATGTGAATGAATAAAAAAAAGGTGAATGAATTGCAAACCATGGTGCTTGCTTTCATTCTTTAAAAAAATCATATTTATTTATATTTTATGTGTATGAGTATTTTGCCTGCATTTAAGTGCACTACATGTGTACAAACCTGTAAAGGCCAAAAGAGGGTGTCAGATCTCCTAGAACTAGAGTTAAAGACAGTTTTTCTTTTGGGAGTAGGCGTCTTTTTGAGACAGATTCTCCCTGTAGCCCCAGCTGGCCAGGAACCCTATGTAGACCAGGCTGGCCTCAAACTCACAGAGATCCGCTTGCCTCTGCCTCCCACGTGCTGGGATTAAAGGTGTGTACCACCCTGCCCAGCTCTAGTTAAAGATAGTTGGTAGCCACCCTGTGGGTGATAGGAGCCAAACCCCAGGTCCTCTGGAAAAGCAGCCATTGCTTTTAACTGCTGAGCCATCTCTCCAGCCCCTTGCTTTTATTCTTAAAACACTCCTTGATAGTATTCAGAATACCACATGGAGTGGATTTGAATTACACAGAAAACAAGTGTGCAAATTCAGACCTGTGTACTTAGAGCAAGGCCCCTTCCCAGAAAGCAAAAACTCACAGTGGAAATACAGTGTCACATGAAGTTAGGACTGTAGTCCTAGGGTCTTTCTCAGTACTCTTGTCTGAACCTTCTTTTCATCTGGACTATGGAGACATGCTTCTTTCGTAGCATAGGATAAGTTAGATCCAGATGCTCTGAGACGTTATCCTAAACTCTGCAGAGCTCATATCTCTGTTCTGAGCCTGGAACCCTGACCCTTGCCCTTTTCTACTCCATACTTCTGCAGTGTCCCTGCTCAAGGACCTCAAACATGCCAACATCGTAACACTACATGATATCATCCACACGGAGAAGTCCCTCACCCTTGTATTTGAGTACCTGGTAAGGTTGGGTAGCAGTGGGTCCCAAGGGGGATGGAGAAATGGCCAGAAGCCATAAGATAATAACCTTTGTTCCTGTACCACCTCTTTTGTCCTCAGGACAAGGACCTGAAGCAGTACCTGGATGACTGTGGGAATGTCATCAACATGCACAACGTGAAAGTGGGTGTGGGGCAGAAAGAAGGGGCTGGAGGGAGCCCCCACTCACCCATCCACCTCACAAAACTTCCAGAAACAGCCCTTTCCTGTTTGATGTTTTTGGTGGGAGCCCATGGAGGGCACTGGGAGCCTGTCATCTTTTTTGTGTGACAAGGCTCTGGGCTCTTTGTCTGTGTTTGGGTGGGAGCAGTGCTTGCCTGCTGGAGGTTGGGCTGGTGGATACCCCTTGACCTCTGCCTGCCATTCTGTGTCTGCAGCTGTTCCTGTTCCAGTTGCTCCGTGGCCTGGCCTACTGCCACCGGCAGAAGGTGCTACACCGAGACCTCAAGCCCCAGAATCTACTTATCAATGACAGAGGAGAGCTCAAACTGGCAGACTTTGGTATCACCAGCCTTCCCTTTCTTCCTGTTGATTCCTCAGCCTTATTCTTGCAGCAACCCACTTCCCCATGACATCCTGGTTTTGTTCCCCTTCAGCATCTCCAGACATTGACCATGGCAGGCGCCCTTAGTCCCAATTATACTAGGTTTTTCCTACAACCTCCTCATTCCAACTGCCCCTTTTCTTTGCTTCTCAGGCCTGGCCCGTGCCAAGTCAATCCCAACTAAAACGTACTCCAATGAGGTGGTGACATTGTGGTACCGGCCCCCTGACATCCTGCTTGGATCCACTGACTACTCTACCCAGATTGACATGTGGTAAGGACAGGTGGGAGTATAGAAGTGGGGAGATTACCCAGCCAACTGCCTCCCTACTCATAGTGTGTTCCCTGCCTAGGGGTGTAGGCTGCATCTTCTATGAGATGGCCACTGGCCGGCCACTCTTCCCGGGCTCCACAGTGGAGGAACAACTGCACTTCATCTTCCGCATCCTGGGTGAGGTGGAGACATTGTACTCTAGAAGCTGTGGGGACATTCAGGGAGGACCTTGGGATGTTTGGGGTAACTCCTATTCCCTACTAGGAACCCCAACGGAGGAGACATGGCCAGGCATCCTGTCCAATGAGGAGTTCAGAACATACAACTATCCCAAGTACCGAGCTGAGGCCCTTCTGAGCCACGCACCCCGGTGAGACCGGTGGGTGGGTGGGCGGGCATTAGGGGCCAGAGTGTCCACACTCCATGTAAAGCAGGTTCCCTTGTCCTTTTGTTAGACTTGATAGCGACGGGGCTGACCTCCTCACCAAGCTGCTGCAGGTGAGACTACCTTTCTGGGCCAGCCTTACAGGGATGGTATTCCAAGTATAGGAAAATGGGACCACCACCAAGGGCAAGGGCTAAGGAGGGTAGGAAAAAGAGACTTGTTTAAAATACCAATACACTCTCCTCTGGCCAACTCAGTTTGAGGGTCGCAACCGGATCTCTGCTGAGGATGCCATGAAACACCCATTCTTCCTCAGCCTAGGGGAACGGATCCACAAACTTCCCGACAGTGAGTAGAGCTGGGGAGTGGATGACTGGAGTGGGGTCTATGGGGAACAGGCCTGATGGAGATAGCTGAGCTAGTTGTGTAGGGTGCTCGCTGTGCTATCTCCAAGGAGGGCACATCCCCAGTCACATGTGTGATAGGTTGTATCTTATTAAGATTTTCTAAAATTTTGGATTCCTTTCAATTTTATGAAAATTCTTACACAGTACATAAAAATAGATGCAGTATCATTATATCTTCTTTTAAGTAGTTGTTTCCTTGTATATACAAAAATGCACAGATCATAAGTGTACAATACACTAAAGTATGTAGCACAATTTTTGCAAACTAAACACACCTATATAACTTTCAGACAGTTCAAAAATAATGGTAGAAATTCCCCTAAGAGCTTCCTCATACCATTTTTGGCCTTCCAGGCCCTTTCCTAGAATGGGGAGAGTTGGAGGCTTTAGTTTTGTTGTTTTGGGTTTTGTTGTTTTGGGAGCTTTTTTGGAGATAGGTTTGTGCTGTGTAGCCCTGACTGGCGTAGAACTCCATGATCCTCATGCTTCAGCCTCTGGAGTGTTGGGATTACAAACATGCAGCCACCATGCCTGGCTTGCAGGGGAGGAAGCAAATATTTCTGCAGCACAGGCAAGCCTCAAACTTGCTATGTAACTTAGGATGACCTTGAGTCCTGATCTTTTTGCCTCCACCTCCAAAGTACTGGGATTCTAGGTGTGTATCACCATACTTGGCTTTCTATAAAAGAGTTTTTTAAGAATATCTCATTTTGGTGGGTTATTATTGTTTTTTGAGACATTGTCTTGCCACATGTAGTTCTGGTTGGCCAGAATTCACTGTATTGCCCAGGCTAGCCTGGAACTTGTGATAATTCTCTGCTTCATACTCTCTATATATCATCACACCAAAAAAATGTGGTGCACTTTCTGTATCTACCCACTGGATTAATATAAGTTCCAAAACACCATCTATCAGCTGGACTCAAAGTACTATTTATATTTATCACACTTGATAAAGTAGTTCACGTCTTGTTTTTTCTAGTTATAGATGGTTTGACGGATGAAGTCAGGCCTCTCAAAGAAGGGGCAACTTGTTTTAATTCTCTCAGAGGGGCCATATGGGGTTTTGTCCTGGATGGATCCATGGTTCATCCCCAACTTAGATGTCTCTTCCACCCACAGCTACTTCCATATTTGCACTAAAGGAGATCCAGCTACAAAAGGAGGCCAGTATTCGGTCCTCGTCTATGCCTGACTCAGGTAAGTAAGTGTGGCCCTCCCCTGCCCTTGTCCCACACACGTATCTACCTGTTTGCCTGCCAACAGCCATTCACTCTGCTTTCCCTTGCAGGCAGGCCAGCTTTTCGTGTGGTGGACACTGAGTTCTAAGCCAAGTTCTAAAACAAGGTCCCAGCAGGCAGCAGCTGGAGGGATGCCACACCCCTCACAGGGCAGCCCCCATCTGCAGTCCTCCCTGCTTTCTGCCTGCCTCCCTGCCTGAGCCACACTCTCCTGCCCATTTGTTCCCTGCCACTTGCCCAAACACCCAACCATTGGCCTGTCAACCTACCCATTGGCCTGTCTGCTGGGTGCTAACAAAGCTCTCACCACTACTTTGCTTGGTGTGTCTGTGTCTTGGTAGTTGCCGGCAGACAGCATGGCCATGCCAGCCTCCTGCATTGAGGCCAGGCCTTCCGCTCTTCATCACACTCTCCCCCAGGACCACTACCCCACGGCCAGCCAGGGGTTTGGAGCTAGTCCAGGCTAGAGCTCTCATCTCGGACAAGAAGGTGGCGGTGCCTTGGGTCTCAGGCATCCTCTGCCTGCTTTCCTTCCTGTCCCACCTGCATCTGTTGTATGGGCCTTCTATTTTGTTAGTTTCTTTAATTGTTTTTTTTATTATTTTAAATGAGGTTCTCAGTTTTTTAAATGCAATATCTCTATATACAGAGTGGTTGGGCCCCACCCCCTCTTTGTGGCACTCCCACAGTATTTTGTGCAATGAAGCCCCACTCCCAGCCTTTCAGAGGCAGGGACCCAGACCCTGTTTGGACCCTGACCATCACTAGACCCTGGGATCGGCTATGGGAAAGCATGCCTCAGCCATTCACCTTCCTCTCCTGCCTGCTCTCCCCAGCTGCAGGGGGACCTGGGATCTACTAGAGACTGGGAGATGGACATGTGGGGGCCCACTCTTTCCCTCCTGCAGTCCCGTACCCAGGGCCTCCTTCCTTCTCAGGGTCTCCCCCAACTCAGCCCTGCCCTCTGCCCTGTCCCAATTGGTGCTGTTGAGTAGGGGCTCTGACAGGAACTGACCAACTCAGCGAGGAACTATATATAGTGTGTATATGTGCACAAGCAGGGACAGAAGGACATATAAGGGCTTGTGCCCAGGTGTTGCCCCCTAATCCCTGGGAGGGTTGAGGCAGGGTAGGGACAGTCTCCTGGTTGGTTGGGTGGGTGGTTTGCTCCCCTTCCTCCACCCTAAGCCCTGGGACCCTTAAATGGGGTGGGAGGGCAAGGGAGGGTGCCCTCCAAGTGGGGTTTGGGGGGATTGGGTTCCTGAATGCACCATAATCACTGTATGAAATATTAAAGTCTAAAGTGAAAAAAGACTGATTGTAAATTGTCATAAAGGCAAGTGGGCTCAAGCTGGGGTGATTACTGGGACCTTGGTGAATCCATCTCTGGTCTCCATCAAATTAACATTGGGAATTATCTGGGGGTGTGGCGGGACTATGAAAAAAGGCCTCTTGAGGGATTGCACTCTGGATGGAGGAATGAGTTTTAGCAGTAGGGTGGTCTCAGTGGTATTGATGGGTTGAGAATTAAGCATGGAGGAGTTAGAATTATCTAGCAATGTGGACAAGACTTACAGGGTGGAGGCAGGAAAAATATAAGTTTGACTTGAGGCTATAGGAGCTGGAGAGATGGCTCAGCGGTTAAGAGCACTGACTGCTCTTGCAGAGGACCTGGGTTCGCCTCTGCGGCATTGCAGGACATGGGTACACTTATCTACATGCAGGCAATACACACATACACATAGAAATAATAGCCAGGTGTGGTGGTGCATGCCTTTAATCCCAGCACTTGGGAGGCAGAGGCAGGCAGATCTCTGAGTTCAAGGCCAGCCTGGTCTACATAGTGATTCCAGGACAGCTGGGGCTACAGGGCAGGTGGATCTTTTTGGTCTACATAGTGAGTTTCAGGCCAACTAAGTCCACAGGGAGACCTTTTCTAAAAAATTTTTTTTTTTTTTTTTTTTTTTTTTTTGTAAAATGTGCTTGCCGTGAAAGCATGAGAACCTGTGTGCAGGTCACCGATACCCATGTTTAAAAAGCTGCATGTAGTGGGTGCCTCTAATCCCAACACTGGGGAGATGGGGACAGGAGGATCCCTGGGGCTTGCTAAACAGCCAGTCTAACCAAAAAGGTGAGCTGCATGTTCAGTGAGAAACTGTCTCAAAAAATAAGGTGGAGAACAATTGAGAAACACCTTATGTCAAATTCTGGCCTTCACATACATGTGTGCACACATGAAAATGAACACACAGAAAGATACCACCTAAGACTTGGTCTCAGGTGAAGATAGTCAAGGCTTTCATTCTGTTAATACCCTCCAACCCACCATCTTGTACAGAGCCAGAAATAGACTTGCAGACAGAGGTGGGGTAGATAGGGCCAGGCAAATGATGGAAGTACTAGCAAGCCTAAGCAAGTCTTTGATAGCTCCACTTGCAGCCTCACTATGTCACAATGGCTCTCTGGTCCCAGAGTTGAAAAAGCAGGACCCCCTCCCTTTCCTGTCTGTTTACTTGGCTAGAGCTTCTAGAAATTCCTCAGCAGATTTCTGTGCCATCTTTTGCCTAGAATCAGATGACATGGTCGTTTCTGGTAGAAAGGCTAGGGAATTAAGGACTTTGCAAAGGGGGCTAAGCTTGCCAGGCCAGACTTAATAATGAGCGGAATTCACTCAACTGCTCTTGGAATTGGTGTAGACAAAGGTTGGCCCCTAGACAGTGAAGAAACCAAGTCTAGGGCTGGAGAGGAAGGGTAAATGAGCAGGCTGCAGAGAGGCAATGAGGGGAGTTGATTTAGAGAACATATGATTCAGATAGGCTTAACGAGCAGCTTTTTGCTTATGTCAAACCCAGTTAAACACCATCTTTCATGATTCCCCCAAGCTAAAAGAATACACTCCTTCAAGGCTTACACAACTTAAAACTGCAACCTTATCTGTGTCAGGTTGGGGTTAGTAATAGACAGTCTCACCACCACCAAAACAAAAAACACTCCCAGCTCCTCAGAAGTTAACTGAAAATAGGTAAATTTGTGATCATGAGAGGGTGAGAGGGGTTGAACTGCAAGCACACCTGTATGCACAAGGATCTAGCTAGGTATGGAAAGACAAAGCTTATTTTTGCCTGTGTGTACTATTTAATAATAGTGAAGGCTGTCACTGAAACAGCCCCAAAGTCATGATCTTGGAGTCTGTGGGTTGTCCATACATGAGAACAGCCAATAGGAAAGTACATGGGAACAGGGGTAATACTAAAGCCATCGCCAGCCTATAGAACTGAGAGAGTAACTGCAATCCTAGCATTTGGGAGGCTAAGGCAAGAGAATCACCATGAGTTTGAGGCCAACCTGAGCTACATGTTCAGAATTGAGATCCTATTTCAAAAGGCAAAATAATCCCTGGCCTATGCAATGGTTCTCAAACTTCTGGCTTCAAGAGTCCTTTATACTAAAGAATAGAAGACACCCAAAGGAAAAAAATGCTTATTTCAAGGTATCCTCAGGATAATTCTATGTTTGTGTGAGAATGAGAGTGAACATATATTTTTAAAATATTTTTATGTGTATGAGTGTATTGCCTGGATGTATGTGAGTGCACCCGTGTAGTGCAATGCCTCGGAGGTGAGAAGAGGACTTCGGATTCCCCTGGAACTGGGGTTAGGACTGTTCATAGCTGCCATGTGGATGCTGGGACTCGAACCCGGGTCCTCTGCAAGAGCAGTCAGTGCTCTTAACCACTGAGCCAACTCTCCAGCCGGAGAGTAAACATATTTATTGCAAAAGTAGTTTTGACTCTCTGAACCTTCTGAGAGGGTTTCCTGGGCTGATAGCCTGTGGCCAGTTTGAGAATCTCCTTCCTGATGTTTTAGGGTCACTGCTCTGGAACCTGATCTGCACTGGAACCATAGCTCTAAGCACAAATTAGTTCGGGGACAAGTGAGTTAACATTTCTGGCTCTGAGTTCCCCCATTGTTGCTCATGGGCCACAAAGATAGTACCTGCCACCTGAGGCTAGTATCTAAGTCGAACATAATACTTAAAATTAGGCAGACTATTGTGCCTTCAACAAACACACAGTTTGGGGATGACTTTGCTTTCTTCAGATTTGTCTGGTGAATAAATCTAGTTTCGGAAGATGAGTGTTTGGGGCATATGCCTGCAATCCCACGCACTTGGGATGCTGTGACTTGGGGAGGCAGGGGGATCAAGGCAAAGTTGGAGGCAAGTCTGGGCAACGTAGTCAAAGCCTTGTGTCAAAGAGAGACAGGCAGACACACACTTGCACGCACACTCACTCGTGCGCACGTGTCCCGTGTTCAGGAAGGCGAACAATAGCCTGAAGGCCTGGGAGGCTCTCTGGAGATGGTAACCTTTGTATTAGGTTTTTGTTTGTTTTCTTGTTTTGTTTTTTGAGATAGGAGCTCATCTCCTGGCTGGCCTGGAACTCACTTTTTAGATCAGGCTGGCCTTGATCTCAGAGATCTGCCTGCCTGTCTCCGAGTACTGGGATTTAAAGGCCTGCGTCACCACAGCAGCCTTTATTAAATTTTGATGGATAAAAGGTACTGATTGAAAGGTCATTTTGGTCAGGCTACCAAAAATGACGCTTTCAGAGTAGGGGTCTGCAGTCCTCAACAGATCAAGGGACAACAGGTAAGACTAGCCCTAAAGCACTCTGTGAGGCTCTAGGAATTGCACTTCTTTGCCCACCTTGGAAACCTTGGCCTCTGCCTTCCACCAAAACCTTTTGACTTAACCAAACAAAGCGTTAAAATCCCACAAGACAATGTTGTCTTAGTTCCCAACTGGAGGTTTATCCCTATGTAATTATTGGTCGCTAAGATCATAGTCCACCACCTGATGCCTGCCTAACTCTGACGTGTCCGCGCGCGCATGAGGCCCATTTCCAAGATGGCAGGAGCCCCCTGACTGGTTGGGGGGCTCTGCTTCCGTTTCCGGGACAGAATCCGGAAGTGCCAGTTGAGGGTCCTCTTCCTATCTTCAGTTGCGTTGGCAGCTCGAAGAGAACGGACGGTTATGGCGGCGGTCGCAGCGGACTCCGCTGCAGCTGCCGTCCGGACGGCCGCTGAGGACAGAGAGCCGCAACACGAGGCCACGCCTGGCCTGGACGACCAGTGGCGCCAAATCGAGAATGGGCGAGAGCGTCCACTGCGAGCTGGCGAAAGCTGGTGAGGCTGGGCTTCAGTGAAGCCTTGGCCAAGGGGACTGTGGGGACGTTAGCAACCTCGGGGGCTTAGAAGCCGAGTTCTGTGGAAGAAGGCGTTGAGAGGCAGGGAAGGGGCCTGTGGGATGGCGGGAGAGGGGCGTAGAAGTACTTGTAAATGAATCGCAACCTTTGGGGAAGAGGCGGGGCCCGTGTGGTACAGTTTGACTCCTGAGGACAAAATGGGGTTTGTTGTGGTGGAGGCGGGGCCTCAGAGGGCCGGCCATGAGGGTGGGGCAGGCCATGGGGGTGGGGGGACTGCATCTTTTTTGGGGGAGGCGGACTGCGTCTGGGAACCCGGAGCCTAGAAAGGAGGAGGGCTCCGTACGTAGTTTAGGGGCGTGGCGTGTATTACAAAACATGGCGTCTGTTGCAAGGAACGGCCTACGAGTACACCCCAGCGCCTACGACCGAGACGAGCTTGGTGGCGTCAGCTGAAGAGCGACATCGTAGCCAATAGCTGTGGGCCGACGGGCGGTGGGCGGGGTGGTGTGGGGATTGAGCCCAGCGCCTGGGAACGAGGCTAAGGGGTGTGGTCTGAGGTGGGGCGAGCCAAGGAACGGGGCGGGGGGAGGGGGCGTGCATAAGGCAGAAAATGGCGCCCGCATAAGCACGTTGTGACGCGGACAGAATTTTTTACTTCGGCCACGGTCTTCTTTCCTAGGACAGGAGAGCGTGGAGGTGATTTGCACAAGAGGGTCCTTTGCCCCCCCTCCCCCCAAAAGTACGTTTTGGTACTATCAGTACCGAATCGGTAGAAAGCTGTTATTTAAAAAGAGTCAACAGCTTGACAAATGGTCTTGGCTTACTGATTTTTTGTTTTGTTTTTTGTTACTGCCTCTTGAAATTTACTGCTTCTGGGGTTTTTTATTCCTTGCCGAGTTGCCTCTCGGTTTTAAAATTGTGAAATGAGTAAAACCTATTTATATATTTAAAATAACACTATAAACGTTTTACATATATTGATGAACATCCCACTAAAATAAATGGTTTGTACTCTTCAAAAATGTCATGGTCGTGAAAAACAAAGCTGAAGATTTGTTCCAGATTGACGGAATTAATGCAGTTTAACAAGTCATAACCAAATGCAACGTGATCCTTGATTGGATTCTAGAACAGGAGAAAATAAATTATTTAAAAAACAGGGTTCTTTCTCATATTTTTTCTCTTTTATTGTAAAATTCATTGGAAAAATCTATGACTTTTGACTAAGGCCAGTAGATAAAATATTATTGATAATTCCTTGATTGTGATAATTGTATTGTGGTTATGAAAAAATATCCTTGTTTGGGAAAAATATATACTGAAAATTTTAGGTATAAGGAACCATCATGTAAACAACTTATTAAATGATTGAAAAACTAGCATATGTGCAAATACACATATGGGGGAGGGGAAGATTGTGGAAATGTTGGTCACAGGATGCAAAATTTAAGTTACACAAGAACAAATTTAGGAGGTCCATTGTACAATATAAGATTAGAGTTAATAACAACCTATTGTATACATGAAAATTGCTGGATAGATTTTACATGTTCTTAATCCCCAAAACTATGTGGTGTGTTAATTAGCTTGATATAGTTTTACAATGTATATATTAAAATATGCTGTATACTATAAATGCACACAGTCTTGTCTATTTTAAATAAAAATACCCTTAAATGATATGGAAAAAACAGTGATTGAGCAAATGGGTAAAATGTTAGATTTGGGAAAACTTAAGGGCATTAGAAATGTTTGTATTATTTTTGCAAATCCCCCCTTTTTTGAGACAAGGTCTTGATATATACCCCAGGCTGGCCTTGACCTCATGTAATTCTCCCCAGCTTCCTAAGTGCAGGATTACAGGTGCACCACCATGCCTGGCTGAAAATAAGCCATTTTTTTTTTTTAGTTTATTTCAAAGTGAAAAAAAAAAAGAAAAAATAATACATTTCAAATGTGTGGATTCATCACCATGGTAAAGAGTCAGAACATTACCCAAGAAATCCTTCTGTGCTCCTCCTGGATGGAAACCCCTCCCTGCTTCATGAGAAACTGTTACCCTGAGTTTTGAGTTAAAGGGCTCTTTTCAGATGTTTTATTATACTCTAAGCTTTTCATATATATATGAATGAATGAAGTATGTGTGCGAAATTATGTTAAATTAGACCAGATGCATACTATAAGCTCTTATTTTAGGTGGTAAGTGCTGTCCCTGTGATGTAATTTGTGACATTAATCTTGATTACTTGGTTACAGTTCTGAATGCCAGGTTTCTTAACTGTTAGGCACTGTTCTCATAAGCAGTAATTATTTTAAAGATACATATCATGTCCATCTGTTCCCCCAGGATGTCCAACAGCTTCCCATCTCATGCATGACCTGCAAGGTACTCTGCTTCCATTCTGTTATCTTCTCAGATTTTTTTTGATTAGCAGCTTCTCCCATGCTCCATCAAGGCCATACATATTAGACTGTGCTTTACATCAAGTCTTAGGGCCTTTTTCAGGTTTCCCCACTTTATTTGAGTTCTTTAATAACAGTACCAGTGAATTGTGCATCCATTACTGGGGAGATAAGTTGAGATTCCCTCAAATGGGGGCTACAAAACCAAATGATGTTTTTCTGCTGTTGTGTAATAGTTCCCTGGCAAAATAGCCTGTCTATCCTGAAAATAAACAATAACCAAATACTTTATAGCTCATTTGGAGATTCACAAAAGGGCCTCAGAGCATTGCTTCATGCCCCGTCCTACCTTGACAGGTGTGTCACAATTGTTCATTGGCAGTAAGATGTGAAATCCTGTCATCCTTGACAGTACCCTTTTAAATCACCCTGCCAATACTAGATTTTCTTTGGGGTAAGGAAAATGTTTTGGAACCAGGTAGAGGTGGTAGTAACACAATGTTGTGAATGTACTAAATGCTACTGAATTGTTTGCTTTCAAATGGGTTAATTTTATGTTAATTTTACTTCATTAAAAAAATTACCACACCAGTGTTGGTTGAGTATCAAAGCCAATCTGTCTCTGCTGTGGGTGTTGTCATGAAGCATTTTTTGCTAAGCTCCACTTTTTTATGCTTATCTAATTTAGGTAAGAGCAAAGCATCTCAAGGCTCTCCATTTTATATGGGTTTGCTACAGTAGTGGGGAAATATGTTTATAAAGCATTTTGTAATTTAAAAAGTTTTGTTAGCATTACTTTCTTTAAAAACATGATTACATTGAGAAACTTTGTATAGGTTGGAGAATTTGGAAAGGGAATGAATGCCAAACTTACAGCAACAGTGAGAAATTTCACATTATTGTTGAAACTTGGTATTAGTTTTGTCAGTAAATAATACTCAAAAATTATAGTAGACACAGGGAATTGCAAATTTACATTCCAAGTTTGAGAGTGATGTCAGTTTAATTATTACAGTTCTTTCTTTTTGAACTCATTGACTTGCTCCAAGTCATGCACCCTGTATCACTATTATTTGCATTTTCCATCCTTGATCTGTTGGCAGGTCTGAACAAGTGCAGTTAATTTGGTATTCTTAACTGATTCAATTTCTTGGAGGAGCTGCGTGTGTGTGTGTGTGTGTGTGTGTGGTGTGTGTGTGTGTGTGTGTGTGTGTGTGTGTGTGTGTGTGTTTGGGCATGCAGAGGTCAGAGGACAGCTTCCACCACCATGTAGATTCTGGGGAACCAAATTCAGGTCATCAGGCTTGGTGACAAGTGCCTTTACCTGTTGAGCCATCTTGCTGGCTCTCCACCTTCTTCGATGTGGGTTTTTTCTAGAGCTCCCTGTTTTCAGCTAGACTGGCAAGCTGACAGGCATCCTCCAGTCTCCACCCCCCAGCTCTGACCTTGCTGCCATGCCAGGCTCTTTGCTCAGCTTTTTACCTGGGTGCTGAGGAGCCAAACTCATGTCAGCAAGCACGTTACTCAGTCCCCAACAACTTTTGTTCTTAAGAGTATATGAAAATCTATAAGATTGCTTCCTTAGAAATTTTTAGTTCTCATGACCATGACTTGTCTACAAACACAGGTAAATCAAAGGTGGCTGAGGGACTCTTGGCAGACAGCTTCCTAACTTCTTACTCAAGTAAAGGAAAAAGAGTTGCTGAGTTCAGAGTGGTGTACCAACAGACAGTTCATAAAGGGAAACCAGTTTTATCGGAGGTTAAGTCAAGAAATGTTGAGGAAAGATATTTATAGTAGCATATCTAATCCTACATGATTAATTGAGGAAGATATACTATTTTGTTCTTTTGAGGTCTCACACTGTAGCCCAGGTTGGCCACGAACTTGTGGTAGTCCTCCTACCTTAGTTTCTCAAGTGCTTTTTTTTTTAATTTTTAAATTTTTTCCTCAAGTGGGTTTTTTTTTTTGGTCCCTTTGGTCTTTTTGAAACAGGGTCTCCCTGTAACCCGCTGGCCTGGGGAACTCACTATGGAGACCAGGCTGGCCTTGAACTCACAGAGATCTGCCTGCCTCTGCCTCTCGAGTACTGGGATTAAAGGCCTATGTTCC